GGAATGGAAACAGAAAGAGAAAAAAAAAGTCTTGTTGGCACAAATCTCTGGCACAATGCAGTTAGCAGCGCAGCGGTCTCCGGTAACCCACTTGTCTCATTTGTGCTGATTGCCCTCATATATGAGCATCTGAGAGAAAATACTGGTGTGAAAACACATCTAGCACTCACATCCACACACACACATACCTCTGACCACTTCCACAGTACTGGGCTTTGTTACAGAGACATACATAAACAATAGGTGGTTTGGACGGCCTCCACACATATGCACACAGACACACAAACATTGATACCCAACAGGAAGAACGGCCCTTTTTAAAGTCAGATGTTTGAAATTCTATCATCTCTGCTCCTGCTAAATGTAATGATATACTGTCCATGATAATTGTCAGCGTGATTAATCTGCTGTTGTTTCACTGTGACCTCAAGCACGCAGCATCCTCAGTCTTTATAATCACACACACACAGACCAGGAAGCTGCCTCTTGCAACAGCAGACTGAGCTCCTCCAGTCGTTACACTGTTTCATCTATGTAATCTTAGCACTATACAGATTGATTTCATTATACTAACTAGACTGGGAAGAATTAACCAGATTGTGCAGTGTTTAAGCAATGCACAAATAATGGCATCCCAGGACAATGTTAAATGAAAACAAGACAATAAAATGTGCAATAACTCTGGGGTTTCAAATGGAGACGGCAATGGAGATGAACGGTCACAGGCAAAAACAAACAAGCAAGCAAGCAAACAAACAAAATCCTCTAAAAAACACAAATGTGCACAGGCTTATCTGTGCACCGAGTCCACCTGTGTGTAATTAGCAGCAGGCATTTCCCGTCAGCAGGGCTGTGCAGTGCCAGGCAGACTGTATGGGAATATGCCTGAGCGAGAGCCCGAGATACCCGCATTCCCAACATCCACAACTACACAGCTAGCATAGCAAAGATGTTGTAGGAGTTAAGATGGCGTGACTATTTTGGGTCACCATGGAACTAGTCAATGAGTGAAAAACTAAGTGCACCCCATGATTCAGGAGCTTGTAGAACCACCTTTAGCATCAATTATCTGAAGTAAATGTTTCTGTATGACTTTATCAGTGTCTCACAAGGTTGTGGCCTCTTGGCTCGCTCTTCTTTAAGCGTTTTGTTTTGTGCACAGCACTCTCAGACTATTCAGTCCTGCTGAGGTCTGGACTTTGGGCCATTGCAACACTTTGATTCTTTTTAAGCCATTCTGTTGTAGATTAGCTGCTGTGTTTAGATTTAAATTGAGTCCTGTTGGATGGCTCAATTAGACCAAGCTTTAGCTATCAGACAGATTGCTTCTCATTTGACTCTAGAGTACTTTGGTATACAGAGGAGTTCAGGACTGACTAAAATACAAGGTGCTCAGATCCTGTAGCTCCAAATCCTCCCTTCACTACCCTGCTTGTCAGCTGATA